ATCAAAAATCTACCATCGCAAAGGTCAATACATCTACCAAAAGATTTGCCTTTTCAGACTGAACAGACATACAACTACTAGTACAAGCTAGTACTTGCTACACAGGCAAACAAAAGAATAGTACGACTGCATATAGTTTACATTTTAAAATATTTCATTAAGTAACCAGGAGATAGTTCAGTGGCTTAAAGCATCTGTTTTCCAAGTGTAAGAACTCAAATCCAATCCCAGAGACAACCCTGGTAACTCTGCTATTTCTGCCTAGCAGCACTGCTGATTCAAGGAGTCATAAAGGTTTTCCCAAGGCACTATGGCCAGGTGTGTACAAACAATGCAACTAAAATGTGTAAGCGGAGATTCCCTAACCGCCCCCCCGCAAAGCAACACAACCAAAATGTATGAAAGCACCACACCTAAAGGAAGGTGACCCTTAAAGTAACAAAATAGGAGACTAACACCCAAGAATACCCGTAAGTACCAAGAATTTTGCTCCATGGCTTGGAGGCCAGCCACACATGCTAGGGGAAAAGGCAGCTCAGATAGAGAAGGGAGCATCAAATGAAGGTGTTGGGAGAATCCTCCCAGGATGGGAGAAGCATGCTGAAAGTAGACTATAGACCGAACATGATTGCCACTCAATGCCTCTTTTGCAAACCACAGCACCCAAAAAGAAAGAGAGAACAAAAGGGAATGCCCTGTCACAGAGGCAGAGGGGGATGGGGGGTGGGAGGGATACAGGATCAGTGGTGGTAGAAAATGAGCACTGGTGAAGGGATGGGTACTCGATCATTGTATAATTGAAATCCATAGCACAAAAATTCGTAAGTCTACAACTGTACCTCATGGTGTTTCACTAATAAAAAAAAATTTTTTTTTAAAAAAAAGGAATGTGGGGCTGGAGAGATAGCACAACGGGTAGGGCGCTTGCCTTGCGTGCAGCCCACCCAGGTTCGATTCCCAGCATCCCATGTGGACCCCTTAGCACCGCCAGGAGTAACTCCTGAGTGCAGAGCCAGGAGTAACCCTTGTGCATCGCCAGGTGTGACCCAAAAAGCAAAAAAAAAAAAAAAACAAAAAGGAATGTGACCCACAGCAAGCACACATGCAAGCACTGCAACTAAAGGTTGCAGTGCTTTAGTTGCAACTACTGGGCAAGCACCATAACCAGTAATACAAGCACACAAATCTGATATATAAACCCCAGAGTACTGCCACAACTAAAATGCACAACCACCATTGTTTAGTCTATATGAGGTCATCCCAACGGGGGGGAGGAAAGGGAAGAGAACAAGAAGAATAAAAATTAGTTTGAGGGGGCTGGAGCAATAGTACAGCAGGTAGGGCATTTGCCTTGCACACGGCCGACCCAAGTTTGATTCCCAGCATCCCATATGGTCCCCTGGGCACCGCCAGGGGTTAACTGCTAAGTGCAGAGCCAGGAGTAACCCTTGTGTATCGCCAGGTGTGACCCAAAAAGCAAACAACAACAACAATAAATTAGTTTGGGGGCTGGAGAGATAGTATAGCAGGAGGTTGCCCTGCATTCAGCTGATCCATGTTACCTGGAACCACAAACATATGGTTCCCTGAACACCACCAGGAGTAAGCCCTGAGCTGAGCTGGGAGTAAGCCCTGAGTATTGCTGGGTGTGGTCCAAAACAAACAAAAAGTTCCATTGAAAAACCTGTGTGTGTGTGTGTGGGGGGGGGGGGGGGGCACGGAGGAGGTGAGGTTGGTCCACATCCTGCAGTGCTCAGGACTTATTCCTTGCCCTGAGTTCAGGAGTCACTCCTAGTGACACTCAGGAAACTATATGCTAGGATCAACTATATCCTAGGGATCAACCTAGGATGGACCTCATACAAGGTTAAGCACCTTACTCTTGTACTGTCTCTCTATTCCCTTAAAATCTCCAAATCGTTTTAAGGGACAAGGATAGTTTAGTGGTAAGCACCTGCCTTATAGGCATGAGAAATTCTGTTCCCTTCTGAATTCCCTGAATAGCCCCACATACCCAATGCAATCCCAGCAGTTATCGCTGTACTGTGGATCCAGGATCACAATAAAGTGAGCGATCTTCAGTGCATTCCAACCAAGTACATGTGAACATCGCAACTACCTCATGCAAACATCACTGCCGAAAGTGCAATTCCAAGAGCAAGTATAAAAGTACCACAACCAAGTGTAGGTAGCCCCAGTTATCATAGTAGCAACAGTAAGAAGGGAAAGGTAAAAAATAAATTAAAAACACAGGACCAGATAGTACAGCAGGTAGGGCGTTTTGACATGCTGACCTGCTTTTGATGCCCAGTCAGATACCCAGCATCCAATATGATTCCCCAAGCACCGCCAGGAGTAATTCCTGAGTGCATAGCCAAGAGTAGGCCCTGAGCACTATCAGATGTGGCCCCAATACCACAGATAGAAAAAAAAAAACACGGGACCTGGGGTATCCGAGTTCAGTGGTCAGGAAGTAAAGGCACTGCACACACTGGGACCTAAGTTCAAACCCAAATACCACATAGTCCGCCAGTAATACCAGTGCAGCCCTGGTGGTCCGCAGAGCCACAGAGCCCAAGCAGTCTTCCATGCTGAGACCCTTCTACTAAACTGCCACCTACATCAGCAGACAGTACTGCCCAGGAGGGGACCAGAGACCCCTAAGCACCACTTAAGAGGTCCAAAATAAAAAAAAAGAAAAAGAGTCATTTTGTAACAAAAATGAAATTGCTTTAATATGACTATACTTTTATTTAATTGCCATTATAAATACCTCTACTATGTGTCAGTAGTAAAATAAATTAAACACTTGTTAATTTGACTGGCAAATATGGCTTGTTTGTTTGTTTATTGGTTTGAGGGCCACACCAGGCAGTGCTCAGGGTTTACTTCTGGCTCTGCACTCAGGAACCACTCCCAGCATGACTCAGGAATTGCATGTGATGCCAGGGATTGAACCGGAATTGGCCACATTCAAGACAAGAGCCCTACCTGCTGTAACTAGTTATGGTCCCATGACTTACTTTTTAAAACATCAAAAGTAGGGCCTGAGAGATAGTGCAACAAGCCCAGTGCACATTCTGCATGCAAAGGGCCCAGGTTCTACCCCTGGCACCATATGTGGAACACTGCCACAAGAAGCCAGAGCATCAAGCTGAGAGTAGCCATGAGCACTGCCAGATGTGGCCCCCAAACCAAATCAATAATAATAAAATACCAAAAGTCTCAGATTAAGAATCTCCAATAAAATCTATGAAAATTCAAAACACTACTCAACTATTCTCTAATTCCTGCCAAAATACGTGTATAAAAGGACTAATTATTATTATGAACTCAAAATTTTTTTGTAAAAATAAATAGTAGAATAAATACTACTACTATTTATTTAAAAAAAAATTTGAGTAGAATAAATCGCATGGCAAAGCCTGGCAAGCTCCCCATGACGTATTCGATATGCCAAACACAGTAACAACAAGTCTCACAATGGAAACGTTACTGGGCCTGCTCGAGGAAATCGATGAACAACGGGAGGACAGTGTTACAGTGAGAATAAATATCCCATTAACAGATTCAGAAACTGTTCATAAGGATTTTTATCATGCTGGTACTCTTTCACTAGATACTAAAACATAATTAGCCATGTTAATTCATCTGATTCATTCAAAAATGTAGACAATTCAAAAACTGTCATACAGTCACTGCCTTTATTCCAACTTCAAGGAAATAAAGATAAACCAATCAGCATCTCAAACATTTTCTAAACACCTCAAAATGGCATTAAAACAAATACAGGAAGACCTGAGTTGTCACGCCTTTTAACTGGCATTCAAAATTATAAACATACGCATAAAATACATAGTAAAAACAACCTATGTTCAGCATTCAAAAGAATAGTCTCACTGGGAAAGTACCATGTGAGAATAAAAATATGGCATTAAACAATGGAGGGACAGGAGAGATTGTACAGGGATTAAGGTGCTAGCCTAGCATATGGCCAACACAGGTTCAATTCCCAGCACCACAAATGGTCCACCAAGCACTGCCAAGAGTGATCCCAGACCAAAGAAGGGCTCCTGAGTACCTCTGGGTATGCAAAATCAAAAAAATAATGATGATCAATCCAGTAATAAATTTTCTTCTACATCTCTGAACAAATAATATTAAAAGCTCCATACCTCAAAATCTGTTTTTAGAAGTCCAGAAAGTATGCTGTATGTATAACACCCAATTCAGCTAACCTCCACACCAATATTACAAATCGGCCCGTTGGGGCTGCTGTGTGACTTCATTTTTTTTTTTCTCCGTATGTCCAGGATTGAACTCAGGGTCTTTTTTAACGAAAAGCATGTGCTCTGCTACTAAGCCACATCCCGGGGATCTCCATGATTGCTTTAACTAAGGCACACTATTAGGGCAGAAGAGATGGCTCAGAGGGCTAGGCTGCTTACTTAGAGGGCAGCAGACATGAGTTCCATACTGCACTGAATACTTTCCAGAGCACCACCAGGACTGAGCCCTCACCACCCAGTGGGGTGCAGCCTCTGAGTACTGCCAGCGTGACCAAAAAGAACTTTAAAAAAATTAAAAATATATTGTTTATAGAAATATTAATGAAGAAATGAGGGAAGGTATAAATACAAGCTCATTTTCAAACGGTCAAGTTCACACCATTATCTCGGTATAGATTTTTGTTACTTTAATCTATTTTCTTAGTTCAAGCTGTACTTTGAAAATGAATCAACCAAACTATGTTCTCAAACGAGTATGCCCTACCAATTCCCATTCATTCATCAAATATGTTTGTATCATCACAATTATCAATGGAGTGACTTCATCCTCAAAATTTTTCCTAAGTGCAATGCAAAGTTACAGAAAACTTTTTTAAAAATACGTTTTCAAATCCACTACAGAAAATCCTACAGAAACGTAGGACAGCAAAAATAAAAACAGGTGTGACCACAGCAAACCCAAAGGAGAGATAAATACAGGGATGTACTTACGTTTCAAAACAACGATCCACGTTGTCGGACATCAAAAGCAGCATGCATAGCTGTTCAAGGGCTATTAGTTGCATGTCCCTTTCATCTCCCTGTCCCATCTGTAGCCATTCTAGCAACGTATCCGGATCCACGTCTGCCATGGTTCTTTTTGTTTAAATTTTTAGAAAGCGGGGGGGGGGGGGGGGGGGGGGGGGGGGGAAAGGGGGGGGGAGAAAAAGCCTTTAAATACTCCAAGACTGACTCACGTGGCTTAAAAAAGAAAAACAAAACTGCTTTTCTCATTGACTAGAACCAAAGTTTGGTGATCTTCCCCCTAGGAATGAGCCAGGACTCCTTCAGTGTGTTTGGATAGAGAGCTTAAAGCAGCTTTTCAACTCTGCTTACCTCCCGGCTTTAACGTTCCTCGAGCACACTAAATAAAATCTAGTTCGCACAAGAGCGTAAGCTGATTATGTCTTGACTGAACTAGAAACCAGAGCTGTCTTTGTTCACAACAGCCCCAATACTGCTCTCACCAACACCTCTGGCAAAAAAAAAAACGCCAACAACACCTAGCGCCGGGCCCTCTTCTGCCCTGCTAACTTCCCCCACGCCCGCACCCGGCCACCCAAACACATCTTCCGATAAAAATCAGGTCAGTCTGAAAGCCCCACGATCCAAACTAAGTGCTCCTTTCAAAGAAACCTCCAAACCTCACCAATATTGCCGGTCCCCTGCCCACCCACCACCCCCCACACACACACACACGCAGCCCCCGCCACCAAACCCACTCCCAGCCAGGTACTTATTCATATAAGCTGAACAAATACCACGATGTGGTGGTTTTAAGAGTTAGGAATCGTGGCAATGCGGGGCACCTGTTCTTCAAACTTTTTCTCAAAGAAATGCGCAGAGTCAGTGCAATGGCCCAGCAGCAACACAGTTACGGGTCGGCCTACAGGCCAAAAAACTACCCCGACCTTCGTGCGCGCCCCCCACTCCCACCCCACCCCTACGGAATCAGGCTGTTGGGGAAACAGAACAAAACCCCGACACCAACCCCCGAGCAGCAGCCCCGACGGGCCGGGCATTACAGAGGCGGCTGGGCGCTCCGCCGGGCGCGCACTTCTAAGTCCCACGTAACCGGGTGTGTGGTGAGGGGGGAGGGAGTGTGTGGGTGAGGGGGGGGGGGGTCCCGGTGGGCACCCAACGGCGGCGCCGGGCAGGAAGCACCCAACCCTCGGGGCCCAGCCGAGCCCCGCACTCCGCTCCCCCGGCACGAAACCCCGGCGAGTGGCGTCCGGGGCCGAGAGAGACGCGGTGGGGGGGGGGGGGGGGGGGAGGCGGGGAGGGGACGCGGCGAGCGGCGGGGCCCGAGCAGGCCGCAGGGGCCGGCCGAGCGCCCAGACGTCCGAGGCCCGGTGGGGCGTCCCTGGTCGGGCCGGGCGCCGACGCCGCCTCAAGGACGCGGGGGGCCCGCCTGGCGCTCCAGCTGCGGCCGCCCGGGAGCTGCCGCGGGCATCCGGGGGGCAGACGAACAAAGGGGATTTAAAAAAAAAAAAAGAGGGCAAGTGGGAGGAAGCACCGCCCGCCGAGCTCACCCGGGGCCCGGGTCTCGCTCTCGGCCCCGCGTTCTGGATCCGGGATCCCGGCTCCTCCGTGGGGCCCCCCACCCCGCCACCCTCCGCCCGGGGCCCGGCCCTTCCCCCTGAGCCTCCCCGGCGGCCCCGCTCCCTCTCCCGCCGGGCTCTCACCCGGGCCTGTGGTCTCCAACTGCTCCGGCCCAGTTCCAAGCAGGCCGCGGGCAGAGCTAGGCCCGGCCGCGGCCCTCGAGTTCCCAGGAAGCCGCAGGCCGCGCAGGTCGAGCCAGGCGGGCGGCACAGGAAAAGCCGCGCCTCGTCCCTCCCCTTCCTCCGCGGGGACCCGGTGACAGGGAAGCGAGGGCTTCCCCCCCTCCCCCTCGAGCGAGCGAGCGAGCGGCGGCGGCGGCGGCAGCCTGCGCACGTCCGGGCACGCGGCTCCTTAGGCCGTAGCTGCTGCTCAGAGGCCCGCGCGCGGCTGCGGGCGGCAGCGGCGGCGGCGGCGCGGGGAGGCCGCGTCCATCGTGATCCGGGAGGGGGCGGGGGGATGGGTGGAGGGTCTGGCGAGCGAGAGCCGGGCGGGGAAGCGGCGGCCGAGGGCAGCCGAGCCCGGCGTAGGCGGAGCGAAGCCCCGCTCCTGCCAGCGACCCCGCCGGCCGCCACGTGGGGCGCTGCGGAGGCCGCGCGGCCCAGCCTGCGCGTGGGCCCCCGCCGAGGACGCAGGGCTGCTGCTGGACTTGGAGCCGCCTTCCACGGCCGTCCTGGCCCTTCGGGGCCTCGGACCGCCTGGTGCCTTTTACTGGGCCGCGCTGTCAGTCGGAGCGTGCTCCTCGGACCCCCTTCGCCCTCCCCCCCCCGCGCGCGCACACACACACACGTACACGCACGCACGCACACGCACACTTGCACGGCGTGTCCACTCTCAAGCGTGCTCCCGCTGTGGGCGCCCCCGCGCCGCGCGACCAGACCGCGGCCGGGCCTCTCTTGGCCCAGCCTCCCTCGAGCCCGGGTGGGCTGTGCCCTGCTGCGAGTCCCCCCTCCCCCCAACTCCTCGCCGGCCTCGTGCACGGAAGCTTGTCGCGAGCAGAAAAAAACGCCCCCCACCCCCCACCCTCCTACCCCAGCTTGGGTCCCGGGAGGCAGAGTGCCCCTCCTGCTTTCCAGAACATAAAATAATTTCGGTCCAGCCCTGGGCAGTCAATACCTGGCTCGGTTTTAAACCTCATGCAAGACAAGTGGATCGAGACGCCAGAAAGCAACCGGTTCGGGGTCACTGCGGGCCCCTGTAAAGCAACAGCGACTCTCCTGTGAGTTGTGATTACAAGCGCATCCGTGGTTATTTCCGTCAAAGGTTTCTTTTTCAGTCTCACACATATAAGAAATATTTTAAAAGAATGCTAAACAAAAAATAAAATAGCGTGCTTGCTAATAGGATGCACTCGGAGAGTATTTACGGTGTAGTTCTTTGGAAATGTGAATTTAGTTTTCTAACGTACTTATGTATTTAGGTGCTTGGAAAGTTCCAGCCACATGAGTTCAGGTCACTTCTGCTTGTGTTGGGAGACCTTGCAGTGGCAGGGTTGGAACCCTGAGCAAGGTGCTGTGCTGCTTCTGTGAGCCATCAGTCAGGCTCACGTTTTTTGTTTTTTGTTTTTGTTTTTTGTTTTGGGGCCACTCCTGGTTGTGCTCAGGGCTTACTCCCCGCGGTATGCTCAGGGACCACTCCTGGTGGTGCCAGGAGACTATGCTGTGTCAGGAATAAGCAGGGGTCTGTGCAGTTGGTTGCATGCAGGCAAGGCCTTTAAGGCAAACTCCTGAACTACACTCCAGCCCCACCAGCCCATCTTCTTTTAAACCAAGGAATTTAGGCAATGAATTCCTTGATTTGTGGATTAAGTAAAGCAGTGGTACATCACTCCCACTGTTTCATCTTTCAAGCAAAATTGATAGTGATAGTTTGAAAAAAAATGTTCCTTTTAAGCAGAGGACATGCTGAATATGTTTGAAGAACCAGTGTTTTGGGAATTACAGATTTATACTTCAGATAGCTGTAGGCACAAGTCCCACCCACACTTGCTGGCATTGGTCCCTAAATCTATTAACTAATCAAGAGGAAAAGTTGGAGAATTCCACTCTCTTCCTACAACTTCAATACATGAGAATAATTATTTAAGCATTGAAAGCTTGTGACTTTACTTGAATGTGACTTCAGGCTGCCAGCAAAATTGTCAAGGAGAAAGTGTCCTTCTTTCTGGGCCTTGAAGACTGTACCAAACAAGGGAGATGGGAGAATACAAAGAAAGCCTATTGTGTTCTAAAACAAAGGATAGAGGAGCTGTGCCCCCAGCAAAGAACCAGCCCTCACTAATGACAGGGAGAGGAGAGTGCCAGCCAAAGTAAGCACCTAGAATTTAAACTGAGGTAGCAAATAGCACTGAGATAGCAGAAAAGATAGTACAGTAGATAAGGTGTTTGCCTGGCATACTGCCGACCTGTGCTCATACAGTTCTCCCCAGCACTGCCAGAAGTGATCCCTGGCTCTGGTATGTGGGCACCAGGACTATTCTTCCGAACCACACGTCCACTTATGTGGCCCCACACGACCTTTTCTGATATGCAAAGTGAGCAATGGAAAGTAAATTATCTAGCATCTGTCCCTAGAAGCAGGCTTGAATGGTGGTGGGCAAATTTGAGCAAAATATAATGCCCAACCGAAATACATCTGGACAGTGCATTAAACTATAGCACCATGCTGCCCGGGGAGGGGAAGGGTGTTTGTCCCTCTGCCTTTTCCCCCTGGTGGCGGCCACACAGTGGACATCAGAGCCTAATGGACAGCCAGGTATGAGACTGCAGTGACGAGGCGCACGGGCCTCATGGGATGGGGGTGGAACTGGCCCTGCTCCCCGCCCTCACAAAGCCCTGAGTTGCCACCCACAAATACCTCCTTCGGCTTCTGAACGAACATGATCTCAGAGACGCAAAAACCAATCTCAGAACCAAGCAGCTTTTGGCAGTAATCCCTCCAGGCTTATTACTAAAATATCAGAAATCCAAAATCACATGGCCTCAATAGCGGCCGCGCGACTTCATATGCTCTTCATAATCAGCAATAGAAAACAAATTATCTAATAATGTCTTTTTGGCAGGTTTGATTGTTGAGGCAAATTCCAAATAATAGTCATGGGTATTTTGTTGTAATATTGAATGTGACCAGTGTAGAGAGAGAGTGAAGTGGTAATCTGCCACACAGGCAGGGGGAGGGGTGGGACGGAGGTATACTGGGGTCCTTGGTGGTGGGAAATGTGCACTGGTGAAGGGATGGATGTTTGATCATTGTATGACTGACTGAGACTTAAACTGAAAGGCTTTGTGACTGTTCTCACTGTGATTCAATAAATAAAAAATTTAAAATAAATAAATAAAACCCTTTGCTTGAAACATTAAAAAAAAATGCTATCTCTCCAACTCATGTCAAAGCATTTTTTAAAATCTACTTCCAGTTATTTAAAATGTGTTGGTGCCAGAGTGATAGTACAGTGGATAAGGTGCTTGCCTTGCATGCACATGGCTGACCTGAGTTCAATCCCCAGCATCTCATAGAATCCCCAGAGCCCCATGAGAAGTGATCCCAGAGCACAGAGCCAGGAGTGAATCCCGAACACCACTGAGTGTAACCCCAAAACAGAACAAAAAAGTATTATTAAAAGACTATAGGCATGGGGGTTGGAGCGACAGCACAGCGGGTAGGGCGTTTGCCTTGCACACGGCTGACTCAGGTTCGATTCCCAGCATCCCATATGGTCCCCTGAGTAACGCCAGGAGTGATTCCTTGAGTTCATGAGCCAGGAATAACCCCTGTGCATCACCAGGTGTAACCCAAAAAGAAAAAAATTAAAAGACTCTAGGCAGGCAGGTGTTTGAAATCAGATTCATATGTTATTAGCTTGCCTTGCACAAGGACAACCTGGGATAGATCTTTGATACCACAATGTGGTCACCAGGCCCCATTAGAAGTAATACCTGAGGGCAGAGCCAGGAGTAAGCCCAGAGCACTGTTAGGAGTGACCCCAAAACCAAACTATAAAATCGAAAGCAATAAAATGTAGTTAGTGATCTAAGCTTATTAGGAGTACAGAAGGAGGGAAGGCTCTGCTCAGGGCTTGCTCCTGGATCTGTGCTCAGGAATCACTCCTGATGGTACTCATGAGATCATATGAACCTGGGTCAGCTTGATGGAAGGCGAGAGACTTTAACACTGAAATATCACTCCAATCCCTCTAAATTTTTCTTTTTTAACTTGTTTGGGTTTTGGGTCATCCCCTGTGGTCTCAGGGGTCACTCCTAGGTCAGTGTTGGGGTGACCGTTCAGTGCCAGGGATCTTAGTCACCTTCTTACATGCAAGATGTGTGCTCCAATTCATGGAGGTGTTTCTTTGGATCAATCTAAGTTTTTTGTTCAGCAGAGGTGAGGCTGGGGTTTGGGCCACACCTGTTTGTTGCTCAGGGCTTACTCCTGGCAGGGCTCAGGAGACAACATGGGATGCCAAAGATTGAAGCAGGTTGTCAGACAAGCACCTTGACCTATGCACTAGCGTCCCAGGCCCCCATTTAAGCTTTTAAGACTCAAAGTAGGGTCTGGAGAGATAGCTCAATGGTTTAGTGTAAACTTTGCATGTGAGATGTTTAAGTTTGACCCCTGGCCACTCTAGCACCGCTAGGCGTAACTCTGAGCAATGAGCCTTCAGAAAACCCTGTGCACTGCAGGCTGTGGACAAAAGGCTGGAGTGATAGTAAAGCAGATAGGGCACTTGTTTAGCATGCAGCCAACTTAGGTTCGATCTCCAGCACCCCATATGGTCCCCTGAACACTGTCAGGAGTAATTCCTGAGTATAGAAATGGAAGTGACCTCTGAGCATTGTCAGGTGTTGCCCAAAATCCAAAATTAATATAAATTTTTAAAAAAAACTCAAATTAGTGATTCCTGGTTATGCTCTGGGAACAATTCAGTGTCATGGATCTAAACTGGGCATTCTGCATGCAAGGCATGCACTTAGTCCATTGAATTATCACTCCAGCACCAATTATTATTTCTTTGTGTGTTTGTGCATTCCTGGTCTCAGACACTATCCACTTGGAGCAGCCCCCAATAACCCTTAACACAACCCTAACAGATGCATTCAGCAGCCCTGCTAGCCTGGCAACAAATCATCAGGGGCTTCTTCTGTTATTGGAGTCATAACTTTCTCCAACCCACCTCTACTTATGCTTCGGACCTATTCATCAATGATAAGCTCTTCTGATAGCACAGCAGATAGGGCATTTGCCTTGCACACAGCCGACCCAGGTTCAATTCCT